CTCTCGCACACATCGAGCGAGAGAGGCGCCATTCTCGGCGCATGCAGGAGGTCCAACAGCATTTACTCCAGCTGCTACCGGGCGAGCAGCCAGTCTGGAGGACTCCCTGGGAGGACTCTCCACTTCCACCTCCCCCAGCGGATGGTGATGATGGTGCTGATGGTGGTGACGCCTTCATGAACGACATCGTCTTCGATCTGGATAACCTCGGCGATGAGTAGGCTGTACTCGTTACCCATCTCAGTGTGTTTTGTTTTTCGGTTTAGACTTGTGTGTGTTTGCTCCATGTGTGAGGAGCTTGAACTTAGTGTCGTTTGTTTTTGTTTTTGTTTGTTTCTTTTGTGAATTGTTTTTGCTGTAGCCGTCTGGGCTAACACTTATCCCTAACGCACAGTGTGCTAGTGTGCTCTTGGTGTTCGATTCGTGCAGAACTGTCCATCTTCCCGTTTGTTTCTCGCTGACTGGTCCACGTCCAGTCCCCCAGCAGTTTCAATCCGGTAACATCGTTCCCCTTCTCTATTCCTCTGCTCCATTGAGGGCAATGTCGTGCTTAAGTGTGGAGGGGTGCTTTGTATCGGTTGGAATGTATATATGTGTGCTTGGAGCCTAGCCCACTGTCCAAATCTCGAGATTTGAGGGCTCCAAGTACTGCTGTTTGATCATATTGGCACTGTGTTTTGATTGATGAATTGAATGGTTTTCGGATTGATGCTCGACAGCTTGATGTGACTAGGACAACCTATGATGAGGACTAAGACGTGCAGTAGAGTTGTGTAGGGGTTCAGTTTTTCAACTGTTTGCTTACCAACTGTGACTTGGATTGATTACTTGTTCTTGACAGTCTCTTATGCATCTAGTTCAGGGTATCAGAATGTGAGATAGAGCATATAGGTAGCCATGTGAGATTTGAGCCTGCTCATTTCTTTCTTGTGCGATATATCCCTCTTCCATGATGTGTAGCATTCACGTTATCACTAGCTAAGATGATGGGGGCATAGGATCAGCCCACGACCAAATTTGACTATCCTGATGTGTCATAACCCCTAGTCAGCCCTTTTGAGCCGTGTGTTATCCTTTCTTTTGGTCTGAAATGAAAAAAAATCACCCTGTTTACATCTTTTAGAAGGTTCCACAGAGTGGTTTTTACATATTCTCTGCTGTTTCTGCTAAATTTGATGTGAGTGTTGGAGGTAGTGCTTAAAAGTTGAGCTGGGCATGTGTTTGAAATATGTGCAGAAGTGGTGGCTCTCTTAAGAAATGAAAAGAAAAATTGAAAGCAAAGAGAGCCACTACTAAAAATCTGAATAATGCCCGGTAAGTAGTGTTTCTTAGCAGTCTGGCTTGGAAATGCTGACATTTATACCTCCTTCGCTCTTGTGCTCTTGAGATATTGAGTAATGCAGAATAGCAGAAAGGAAATACCGGTTTGTTGACTGTGATTGTTTGGGTTTGGAAATGTGGAACCTTGTGCTATGAATACTTCCACCACCTAAAAGGCCTTTTCCCCATGTCCAAGACCCTAGCCAGTCATTTGAACCTGTGTCTAAGATCTCCTGATTAGTTAGTGGTGACACCCCATATGTGAACTCTAGCGTTTAGAGGCTGCCATCATGGTGAAGAGATGTTAGGGATTGAGAGAAATAACATGCGCATTTTTCGCATCAAATTGTCCTGGCCCCACTGGTCGAGAGTGAGTGATTCATTTTCATATTCTATATGCTCTTGTACCCCGGTGAGGACCTAGATTGCTCGGTCTCTATTCTGATGTCTTGAGTTGGATGCATGAGTTGACTGTTTTGAGTAAGTGGTTGAGTCAAGTCTAGGTTGGTTGGTGAACAGAAGGGAGACTATTCCTTTACTCGATTTTGCTGCACTCGAATGTCCTTTGTGGTGGTTGTCTAGGTTGCTATTGAAGTTGGTCAGGTATTGATGTTCGAAAACCAGTACGATTCACGTGTTCTGTGCTTTTATGACTTGTCCCCAATGTTGGTTGATTGGAAATATGTAAGCTTACCTTGTGTCTGACTTGGTTTGCTTGGGGACAAGCAAACGGTTAAGTGTGGGGGAGTTTGATAGACCGTTAATTACACATTATTTTACCCCTGTTCTCACACCGTTTGAGATGTGATTTCTCGTGTTTTAGGCTGATTTCACGCTAGGTTGTGCTTGTTTGTGATATTTCAGGTCCTAGTACGTGAATGGAGGCTTGGGAGCGAGTTTGGGGTCGATTGGACGAAGATCGGGCGCGAGGCAAGTCACAAAGGAGGCCACACGGGCACACCCACAACTCACACGGCCGTGCAACTCATATTTGTGGCCGTGTGAGATTGTGCGAGAGCAAACACGGCTTGCCCTGATAATCCACACAGCCGTGTGAAGAAGTGGTCTGCCAGTGTGACTTTCGCCGAGAGCAAACACGGGCAGATGGAAGTCACACACGGCCGTGCGACCCTGGCCGTGTGAGAAGCCTGAAGATCGAACTAAGTGGAACGCAGCATTTTGACTCACACGGGCAACTGGGTATGCCACACAGCCGTGTGGCCCTGCCCGTGTGAGTCGGGATTTCCTGGTTTTAACCCAATTTCGGGCTGCAAGAGAGGGAATCGGACTTTTTGAGCAAAAACAGAGCCCTAGAGAGAGAAAGGACGAAGAACACATCCTAGAAGCTATCTTGGAGCTGGGTTTCATCAAATCAAGCTTGGAGATCGTCCTAGGAGTGGAAATTATCATCCCAGAGCAGATTTTCCTCATCTTTATGAGTATGACTACTTTGTATCTTGTTTTCCTCTCTCTCTCTCTATGGAGTAGAACCCCTCTCTCACTTGGGGATGAAGAACCCTAGTTCTGTGTGTTAGGGATTGATTGTAATGACTTGGGATGATATTACTGTTTGATTTTAATCGAATGATGCATGTTTATTGAGTCAATTGAAGTCTGATCAACTTTTCCTGATTCCTGCTGCAATCTGAGATAGATAGAATCTGATTAGGTTGCTAGAGTCTCATCATTCGATAGTAGGAGATTGGCTATACGAGAGTTAGCCAGTTTACTGCTTTGTACTAGAATCTAATTCCAGTAGTGGAGTTCTGTTCTTACTGCTTCAGCTTTCTATCCCGGTGAAGACTAGTCGTCTGCCGGGTAGTTAGACTGAGAGGGCTTGGTCAGCTTAAGAGATTCCAAGCTACTGTCGGATCTTCCGCAGTCTAATCAACAGTAAATCAACACAGGGAAATACAATTGAAACCTAACTAAGGAGCTAGGGGGACTCATTCCCGAGTGACTCTTACCTGCTTGAGAAAACCGAATAATTTCCTGCTTTCTTTCTGCTTTTGTTTTTAGACAACAATCACTTACTTTAGTTGGCTAGATAATAGAGAATCACTGAGTAAGCAGTAGACCTAGACCTCGGGTTGATAATATAACTTGCCTGTTACTGCATTCCCGGTCTGCGATTACACTTGGTCGCAGATTGGTGTTGTGTTTTGGCGTGTCAGTAGGTGTCCTTAAAAAACAGAATCGTGAGTAGTCAATGCCCAAAAGTTGGAAGAATACCTGACAAGTCTTGAATACATATAGAAATTGATGCCGGCTAAGAAGCAAAATTCCCGTGCAAAGCACGTCTCAACAGTTCCCATCTGGATGCAGTATATTTCATTTTCGGTAAAGCTTTAGGATGACATTTGGCTTTGTCATATCGAACAGACATGGCGGAGGCCAGAGACCTTCCAAACTCAAGAATTTTTAAATGCTCTGGGGCAGAAATGAAAACATAATGTTTCGAAGGATCCGCCCAGTAATGACCTTGGTCCTTTTTAAAGGTCACCTGTCAGCCAGCAACAATATTAAGTTTAATTGAAACCCCGAACAATTTAACATTGAGAAGATACTGGATAAGTAAGTTATCAGTGAGCTTCGGTGGGTACCTTCTGAAGGAAATCAGCAACACCCTTTTGGAGGGGGCAGTTTGACTCCTAGAGGCTCAAAGAACTCCAACACTTCTGCCCGAGGACCTTGATACACCACATGTCCCTCAGATAGTAATATCAAGTCATCAAACAAATCAAATGTCTCCGGAGGGAGCTGTAGAAGAGCAACCAACTCTGTTACTTATTTCCTTGTCTCAAATGGACAAAGTTCCTCGAGCATTTTATGACTTGATAGGTGGTAGAGCTATCAAGCATTGTAGATACTTCATCCATGAAAAGAGTTTTCCTAAGACCAACTATCATTTCCCCTGCGTTATATTATTATCAGTTAATGACTACTGGCTTCTAAATCAAATGGAAAACACGCGTAGCATATTTCTTCACTTGAATAGTGACTTCCTCTTACGACTGTTGTATCTATCTAGAGAGAGAGAAGAGTCAAACCTGTGGTAACCCTTTTCTTTTGACCGCCTGAAATGCCACAGAACATGTCATTGCCAACTAATGTATCCGCACAAACATCAATTCCACGAGCTCTAAGGATATAGTCTGCTGCAACATTGTGCTTTTTGCCATGGACGGATGCTGCCTGCTCCGTGTGAAATTGAAGAAAACGAATAGCATTATGATCATGGTTAAAAAGAATAGAAAAGAAACAAAAAAACGTGAAAGACAGTATAATTTGTGTGTAATACGCATTCCATAAAGGCAGAATCTACCTAAAGACTATAGTAACAAGAAGAAAAGAGCAAATGGCCAACATGAAAAATAATTGTTGAATTCAACATAGACCTTCATAAAGGCATCAATGTCAGGACTTGGATGTATATTCCTCTCCTTTTTCCAGTCGTCGAATCAAATCTTTCATCATATCTGATCACAAAAGGAATTAGTTCGATGCAAATGACCAAAAAAAGAAGATGAACTTGATAAGAGAGAGTATTAAGTGGAACAGAATAAATTCTCCACTATGTTACCGTTTGAGTGTTTCCTTGTTTGTAGCAACCTCTGTGTAGGGTTTTCTCTTTCTGTTGCTGCTGCACTTGTATAAAAGCCTCTATTCAATAATGTAAAACTCAGCTTGTCCACATACACTTTCATGGTATCAGAGCCACAGTAGACTCCAACGAGTGCTGTGCTATTATGATTCTTTCACCTATTTTTTCTCTACTGTTCTTCTTCTCTTGTTCTTCTTCTCAGCCGCTCTAATATGTCGACGACTTCCAGCGCTACTTCTTCTTTCGCAGCAGCTTCATCCTCTTCCTCTTTTCCCATCTCTTTACCTTCCAATCCCCAATTGTCTGTCAAATTGTCACCCACCAATTACTTTTTATGGCGAGCTCAGCTTCAACATCTTCTTCGCTGTTATGATCTTCTTGGCCACATTGATGGTACCCTCCTTGCGCCGCCAGAGCAAATTGCTGATCAGCCCAATCCTGCCTTTCGCGAGTGGTATGGGCATGATCAGTTGATTCTTATGTGGATCAATCTTTCTTTGACCGAGGCCGTCATGCCACATATCGTCAATAAGCACAATGCGAAGGATGCTTGGGACACGTTGGCGGCGGTCTATGCTGCTGGTTCTCCGGTGATTGTTGGCCAACTCCGCCGTGATCTCCATCATCTTCGCCGTGGAACAGACTCAGCTCATGACTACCTCCTCCGCGCCAAAACAATTTTCGACAAAATGGTGGCGTTGGGTGATCCGATTAAGGAGGTAGAGCTGGTGACTTCTGTTATTGATGGTTTGGATGAGGACTATCGTCCATTCACACGGAATCTCGAAGCTCGTCTTGAGCCAGTGTCATTTGCGGATCTCAGTAGCCTCATGCTCAGCAAGGAATTGCAGCTTCGCCGGTTTCGGTCGGCTGCTAGTGGCGGCGCGTCTCCCCAGGCGTTCTATGGTGGCCGTGGCCGTGGTGCTGGGCGTTTTAATCGCCAACGTGGGGGGCGCTCTAGTGGCCGTGGTTTTCAACAGATGGGCCGTGGTTTTATTCACCCTTCCTTTGCAGGTCCTCGGCCCATGTATGGTTGCCCTCGGCCCGCTGCGGTTGGTGTCTTAGGGGCTGGGCCTCTCGGCCCATCTCCACTTATATGTCATAATTGTGGAGGAAGGGGGCATACCAGGCCCCATTGTCCAAGCCCGTTATACTAGCCCCAGCCCTTTTACCCCTCTGGCCCGTCTTCCAACTTAGCCCAATCCTCTCACCCAGTTCTCCAATCCCAACAATGGCTTCTTGACTCCGGGGCTAATCATCACCTTACATCTGGTTCATCACTCTGAGTACACTGGCACTGATCAAGTTACTTTTGGCAATGGTAAACAACTCCCCATTTCCCATTCTGGTTCCTCTCGCGGTACTCTTTCCAATACTTCTTATTCCCTCAATAATATTCTTCGCGTTTCAAATGCTCCTCATAATCTTCTTCCTGTCAGTTCTTTAACTCGCACTAATCCCATTTCGATTGAATTCTTTGATTCCTATTTTGTGATCAAGGACCGCCACACGAAGGCTGAACTTTATCGGGGATCTGCGACTAATGGACTCTATTCTCTGCCTCTTCATATTCAAAGTCGCGTCGTTCCTTGAGCTTTCACTGCCTCTCTTGATCTGTGGCATCAACGATTGAGTCATGCGAATCTTCGTGCTGTTAGGCATCTTTTGTCTTCCAATTCAATAAATTACCATGATTCTTCTGCTTCTCTGTGCATTGGTTGTTCTGTTAGCAAAATTCACAAACTTCCTTTTCCTTCCTCTCAATTTCGTGCCTCTACGCCGTTAGAACTTATTTGTAGTGATCTTTGGGGTCCTGCGCCTCTTCTTTCTTATGATCATCAATCCTATTATATATTATTTTATGATCATTATAGCAAATTCAGCTGGGTGTATTTTGTGCGCTATAAATCTCAACTACTCAGCGTGCTTATCCAATTTCGCCAAATGGTTGAAATTTTTTTCGGCTTCCCATTAAAATTTTTCAGTCTGATTGGGGTGGTGAATATCAAGCATTGACTTCTTATCTTTCCAATAATGGTATTATTCATCGCTCCTCTTGCCCCTATACCCCAGAACAGAATGGTTGTGCTAAGTGAAAGCATCGTCATATTATCAATAATGGGCTTGCTATGTTACATCAAGCCCATGTTCCGCTCAAATATTGGTCTCTTGCTTTCGATACGGCATGTTATCTCATCAATCGTACTCCTACTCCTCTTCTTCAAAATTCCTCTCCCTTCACTACCTTGTTTCATACTTCTCCTGATCTTCTCAATCTTCGTGTCTTTGGTTGTTTGTGTTATCCTTGGCTCCGTCCTCTCACTTCAAATAAACTTCAACCTCGTTCTACTCCCTGTGTTTTCTTGGGTTATAGTCATCTACATAAAGGTTATCGTTGTCTTGATCGTTTAACTGGCCGTATCTATGTCAGTCGCCATGTACTCTTTGATGAATCAATTTTTCCGTTTCGAGATAATCCTCCTCCTTCACCCGATACTCTTTCTCCTGCTTCCTTTCTACCTGACCCTATTTCCCTTCCCCACCATCAATTCTCACTCGGCCCATCTTCTTCCCCTCCTATCACCCAGCCCACCGAGCCCACTTCCTTATCTCCACCAATCCAGCCCACCGAGCCCACTTCCCTCCCCAAGCTAAACCCACCCACCCAGATCCTATCACCCTCTCCACCCACCCAGCCCACTGCACCTATTCCTCCGCCACCTTCCCATTCTCGGCACCTCCTCCAATACCATCGCCGCCCGTGTCCCGCTCCCTCCTTCAATATCACCGTCGCACTCATCCTACCCAACCCCCTATCTCCTCCCCAGCCCCTTCTCTACCCTCCACCTCCACTTCACAGTCTCGTTCCAAACCTTCCCTACCAAATTCTCTTTCGTCTCGGCCACCTTTCAACACCTCTCCCCCGCATCATCCCTACTCCTGCCCAGCCTTCTCCTCCCCGACGAATGGTCACTCGTACTCAGACGGGGAAATTGAAACCCCGTCAGTTCCTTGCCGCCGCACCTACTGGCATTCCCACCACTGCTGCGCAGGCCCTTAAGTCCCCTCTTTGGCGTGCCGCGATGACAACTGAGTTTGAGGCTCTCATACCCAATCATACCTGGGATTTGGTTCCCCCTCCACCAGATTGCAATATTCTCACCAATCGATGGGTTTTTGCGGAGAAAACCAACCCTGATGGTTCACTTGAGCGCCAGAAGGCACGACTCGTGGCTCGTGGTTTCCAACAAATTCCGGGTCAAGACTTCGGCCAAACATTCAGCCCGGTGCTGAAACCAGCCACGCTTCGTCTTCTGCTCGGGATTGCAGTCTCCAACTCCTGGCCACTTCACCAAATTGATATTTCAAATGCATTCTTACATGGGACTTTGCAGGATGAGGTATATATGCAGCAACCCATTGGGTTTGTAGATCCAGATCGCCCTGATCACGTCTGCTGTATGCAGGGTTCAAGAAGGCGCGCATAGGCGCACGCCTAGGCTCAATTAGGCGCTAGGCGGTGGAGGATCGCCTTGACTTGGCCATAGGCGTTGTAAAAGGCGCTGGTAGCGCTTAGTAGGTAGGAATAGCACTTAGTTTGCGCCTAGTGGAGAGAAGGCGTGTTTGGGCGTTCGTGGGTGAGCTTAGGCGGTTAAACCCAATACTCTTCGTTTTGTCCTAGAAAATCAGAAACTTGCCTCTTGCCCTAGAAAATCAGAAACACGGGAAGTAACATCTGCTGCCGCCCGCTGCCCTAGCTCTCGCCCCATCTACTACTGCCTGCCACCCTAGCTCTCGCCCCATTTGCTGCTCTCTGCCGCCGCGGAGAAAGTCATCGATCACTCTTCTCGCCTTCACACCGCTCCGCTGCTATAGAGGGAAATAAAGTCGAAACTCGTCAATTGCTACTCCTTCCTTCTCCTCGGTACGTAGAACAAGCTTCTTGCCTTTATAAGCACCTATTAGCAGATGATTGGTCACTATTTGCTTGTTATTTGTTATGTTAAGTGTTTACTGTTAAGAACTAGGCATTGCTAATTTTATATGCACTTGGATTATATGAATTATTCCAGAAAATAGGAAATATTTGAGAATTTTTCCATTTATGTTCTAAACGCCTAGGCGCGCCTAGGCTACGCCTAATCGGGCAAGGCGCAAGTCAAGAGCCGAGCGCCTGCCTTACGCCTAGCGCCTTTTAGAACCTTGGCCGTATGAGGAAGTCTATCTACGGCTTGCGGCAAGCTCCGCGGGCCTGGTTTACCTGCTTATCTGAGGCCATTCGCGAGTTTGGTTTTGTTGCCTCCAAGACCGATCCTTCCCTGTTTATCTACCGCACTCCAACTACTGTTTTGTATATGCTTGTGTATGTAGACGACATTGTCATCACAGGCAATAATTCTGAAGTTCTTCAACAGCTCTTGCTTCACCTTCGGTCTAAGTTCGCCCTTCTTGATCTTGGGCCGCTGTCTTATTTTCTCGGATTGGAGGTCCACTACACACCTGACGGTCTTATTCTCAATCAACGGAAATACATACTGGAACTGCTGGATAGGTCAGGGATGTCTCACTCGAAGTCTATGACTACACCCTGCACGGCTGACCAGCTGGTACAAAGTGCATCCGACGTCTCTCCAGCCTTTCATGATCAAAGTTTCTACCGGAGCATTGTAGGTGGCCTTCAGTACTTGAGTTTCACCCGCCCCGACATATCCTTTGCTGTCAATCATGTGTCCCAATTCCAGCAATGTCCGACCGATGCTCATTGGAAAGCCGTGAAGCGAATTCTCCGTTACCTACAGGGCACAATCACTCAAGGTCTCCTTTTTCAACGATCCTCCCAGCCACAGCTCCATGGTTATTCCGATGCATCTTTCGCCTCCTATCCCTGCGATCGTAAGTTCATCTCTTGTTATGCAGTCTTCTACGGCAATAATGTGGTTTCCTGGTCTACAAGGAAGCAACAGGCTGTTGCTAGATCCTCTACCGAGTGTGAATATCGGGCTCTCGCCACGGTCGCATCCAAAGTAATTTGGCTTCAAGCTCTACTCACTGAGCTCGGACAGCCCACTACAGCCCCTGTTCTTTGGTGTGACAATCTGGGAGCAACTTATCTTGCTCATAATCCAGTTTTTCATACACGCTCCAAGCATCTCGAAATCGAGTTTCACTAACAAGCAGCAATTACATGTGCGCTATCTTCCAGCCACCGATCAGCTCGCAGACGTCCTCACGAAACCTCTGTCTCGCCTTCCCTTCCGGACTTTCTGCTCCAAGTTTCACCTCGTCGAGGTTCCACTTGCGGGGCCGTGATAAGAGAGAGTATTAAGTGGAACAGAATAGATTCTCCACTATGTTACCGTTTGAGTGTTTCCTTGTTTGTAGCAACCTCTGCGTAGGGTTTGCTCTTTCTGTTGCTGCTGCACTTGTATAAAACCCTCTATTCAATAATGTAAAACTCAGCTTGTCCAGATACACTTTCAGAACTTCCACAAATGAAATACAGCATTTTTAAACTACAAAGCTTCACCAAATTGTAGGGATGTACAGTACAATAATTTTCAGTGCCCTCTTTAGCATCTATTCGAAAGTCAGGATCCTATCAGTGGAAAATGGAAATAAGCTACCCACGAAAGACTGGCACACATTTCTTTGAATAAGTGCATGATCCCAATATATGAATGCAGAATGGATTCGATATATGATTATCCACCCATCAAACATGAGAACCAATCGGAGGGTTCAGAACAAACATAATAGTATTCATATTTTTGTTTGTAATTACTAGACTTAAAATGTCAATGCCTTCTTGCTTGTAAAGCTGAAAACAAAGAAGGGGCAGTTAAGTCACGCTAACCTCAGACTTTTTTCATTTAGATTCAACTAATTGGTAATAACAGTCCTTGTAATAATGCGGGTTTATCGTAGAGCTGATAGTTCGATATTCCCTACAAGTCTAAATTAAAGTGCATCAAGCAAAACAGTAAACTGCAAAATTAATTAAAGAAAGAGACCTGCCAAGTCTTCACTTTGCCCCTGCCACCGGCCAGCAAAATTCAAAGTCTCTTGTACAGTGAGCTCAGCGATATGGTTGTCCATTTGACTGACATATGCACTATGCAGAAGTTCTTTGTACATAAAATTTATCAAAGTTCTGTCCATTGTACAGGACACTACCAGTTACCTGAAGAAAATTGGTCACATTGAGAAACTTTTGTGATACCAATCTCAACGTAAAAGGAATTACACATGGGTAGAACTGGATATACACTTGAACTGGTGGTTATGGAATAAGATGGTCAGGTTGCTAACCTTGAGGTTTTTATCAAGTTTCCCTGCAAAGTTGATTTCCCCGAACCAGGAGGTCCAAGGAGCAATGCCATTCTACATCCATCCAAACAAAAGAAAAAGAAAAAAGAAAAAAGATTCAGAAAACTGCAACAATGTCTGACTTCAAGACTCTGTGGTGAGTCGATGGTCTCTTTTAACCTCCATTCTGAAACCCGGATGCTAAATTGGGGAAAGTTAGCGGTTTGAGGTTCTCTAATTCAATCGTTGTAGAACTGAAAGACTCAGGGCTTCCACTGGGAAAATTAAATTACCTAGCTCTTGCGGGGCACAAAATGATTTTCACAATTAACTTTTACCTCAAAAGACAATGATTTGAGAACCATTCCGTACTGGTACTGGAATGCGTCGGCGTTCACCATGGATACAACGATGGGAATTCCCCTTCCCATCAGACTGGCGAACCAGAAATCTTAGACAACCGGATAGAGTGCACAGCAGCAACGGCAACAGCGGAGGTAAGCAAATTTAGAGAGTGGTATAAGATCCAACAGAACCTTCTCCCAACAACTCGAGTTATTGGGACCAACTGGTTTTTGACATGGTATCAGAGCTGGTTTGGCCAAGTGGTCGTGTGTTCGAATCTCCACGACCCCCAATATTAATAGTGGATTAAAGCACAAGGTATGGTGGACCTGTGCAAACTTCAAGCCCATGAGTTGGCTTTCGTTTGAGGGGCCGTGTTAGAGAGTGGTATAAGATCAAGCAGAACCTTCTCCCAACAACTCGAGTAATTGGGACCAACTGGTTTTTGACAAATAGCCGCCAATATTAACAGTGGATTAAAGCACAAGGTATGGTGGGCCTGTGCAAACTTCAGGCCCATGGGTTGGCTTTCGTTTGAGGGGCCGTGTTAGAGAGTGGTATAAGATCAAGCAGAACCTTCTCCCAACAACTCGAGTAATTGGAACCAACTGGTTTTTGACAAATAGCCGGCGGCGGCCGCAGCTGTTAAACGCGCGAGGCAGTGGAATTTATGTTTGTAGTTCAGTCATTTGGGGTTGTTTGATTTCGGTGAATATTTGGTTGAGATAGTTTTCAATGTATGTAATGTCCATCTTTTTTTTTTTTTTTGTTTTCTGAAAAACAATACATGCATTGTTTGCTTGATATGATACAAACTATCACTCAAAATAAGTAATAGTTAAATCTCAAATTTTTTTGTGAGATTGTTTGATTAAGATTGTTGTGTTATTTTTTCCTTCCAATTACATCTCTACCATTTTATGTGTGTTGCTTTTGTATATTAAAAACAAAAGGTAAAAGTATATTTCACCCAAAAAGTAATAAACTTATTTAAATAACACAATAACTAATATAGAAACCAAACGATGTAAAGTAAAATAAACTAATTTTCTAATATACATGTATATTATTATGCATGCATTGATGACATTGACCAAATCCATGTTTCAAATAATGACCAGACCAAATAGATTTGGTTTAGACTTACCTGGGTATTACGCTTATTAGCGAGTTGGTGTAATTGTGACCCGCTATTCATCCACATTTTTCTTCGAATTGGATTGAGTGGGTAGCGAATGAGTGCGGGTGGGTTGTGGGTTAACACACAAAAAGTTCCTTAAATATTTATAAAAAGTTCCATAAAAATTAGTAAGATTGGATCAATTGATACACTTCTCACATTGTCTCATGTGACTTCATATAGTATTTGCATCAAAATTTTCATTACTCTATCCAATTGTGTAGAGAAAACTTACGCATTTTGCCAATATCTAATGGGTATTACACAACATAATAACCAATAATGATAATCCAAAAATATTATTTATTCTCCACCGTTAGAAGTAGATGGTCAATATTTAATGTAGTTAGGAAATATGATGAACATTCAATAGTATAAGAAACAACATTTAGCCAGATGGAAATATGGTGCGGGTCATTCCGGTGACCCGCAATCCACCCACCATCCACACATATAAGTGTAGTAGGAGATTTATAAATTCACAATCCACCCACACAATCGTCTGATGCCTGCGATTCGGATTATTTGTGAGTGGGTCGATATCAACCTATGGATTAACCACCCACGTGCCCACTCCTACCTAGGACTGGGCATGCAGCCAGATCATCCGTGATTATGGACCGATCCGCCCGCATATAACCCAAATTTCATTATGTGGATGGGTCATGGGTTGTGCTTGAACCATCCGCTAGATAAAGGATGAGTTGTGGGTGGGTGTGAGGGTGACCCGCTCAACCCAACAACAAAAAGCCTAAAGTTGCTAGGTAGTGAAGAGTAGAGATGGAAACTAGAGCTCGTCCTGGAGCGCCAATCTTCCAAATTGTGACTTCCCCTCTTCTTTCCTTCATTTTTACCTCTGATTCTATCGCCCAACTATAAGTGGGTCATGCATATATGGATCGTGTATCCTTTATTAACTTTATCAATACCTCTTTAAAAAGTTGCATAATTGCAACTCTTCGCTTATGATCCTGTCAAGTGTCAAGTTGACCACTTTATATTATGCACATTGTGTTGTGATGTGGGTGAACTGAACCGGCAGATCGACTCGCATAATCCACCATTCATCCCATCTAACCTGAGACTAAATGTAGGTGGGTGGTGGATTAAAAATTGTCAATCCATTTAAGTGTGGGTGGGGGTGTTTCATGGTCAAAATTTGTCCAACCCACCCAATTCCCACCCCCTACCGTTTACTTTTCATTTTGTTTTCTATGATTTTGGCAACAAAAAATGAAATATGGAGAAAGGGAAACTGTCATTTACTCATTTCTAAAGAAGCGATTCCTGAAAATCTGACACTGAAAACCTGTTTATATGGGATTTTTGTCAATATGGAAATTGCAATTTCTTTAAAACCTGATATTGAAATGAAAAAAAAATATATATTTGAAATACAAAAGAACTCATTTTCAATGATAAATTTTGAATAAGTTAAGTAATGGTAACGTTGTTACTTTTCAAAATCCATGTCAAGGAGTTTGTGCACGCTTTCAATGATTGATTTTGGATATGAAGAGAAAACAGAATGAAAAGTAAACCATTTTTCTCAACCCGTTTCCAGATTTATGGAATGAAAACAGAAAACAGAAATTAGAAAACGAAAATAAAAGTGAACTGGACCGGCCACTGCGCAACCACATGGAGCTACGGAAGAACAAGAGGAATTCTTCTGTAGGAGGCCTGCGTGGCAGGGTCTGTGGTGGTGGAAATCAAAATTGTAATTAACATTAAATTATTTGAATAGATTTTGTTTGTTAGAAAAAAAATATTTTTAACAATAAAAAAAGATATAAGGGTAATAATAGTTTGCATAGATCTTGCAAGAATTATGCAAAATAAAAAAAGAATTTAATCGCTATATGTCGCCGTAAAATTTAGATTATTTCACCCTAAATCGTACTAAATTGACATTTATATGTCCATACCCAATTTCAATCACTAATCCCTAACTCAGATTGTCGTGCAGCCCACCAACCGTCCGACCACCGCAGCTGTTCCCCCAACCCGCCGCCGCTCTCATTCCCCCACTTCGCCGACTTATTGTTGCTGAGGAAGGAGAAAGAAGAAGCATGAGGTAGAAGGTCCGACCGCTAGTCTGCCTGGGAGAAGGAAGAATAATCCTGCAGCTTGATATGCCGCTACCGTTCCCCAATCGCTTGTCGACCCGCTGCTGTTGTTTCTTTTTTCAACACAAAGGAAAATTCATTCGTTCATTTCTAGCATTCACTCAACAACAGACAAATTGCAAACACAAAGGCGGGCACCAAAGATCAAACAATTTCCAACTTCTTACCATCCACCCTAGCGTTCATTTCTTTGCAGAATCAATCAATGAACGTCTTCAAAAACACACAGATTGAAATTATAAATTCCCAGCCATTCAAAGGCAACACAGCAACGCCCATTTTTTTAGGATTTATATGTTTTGAAAACAAAGACTAAATTAAGGATATTCAAGTCATTTTAATGAAAGTTAGGGCGACAAATAAGAAATTTTAGAGCGACGAATAGCAATCCCCAAAAATATTCACTCAAGATCTCTGTACATGTATTGTTTGAAATGCATTGTTTTTTTTATTTGTTAGCAGAACTAAGGCTATTAATGAACCAAGGCACTCATGAACGGCTTGACGTTCGACTCGAGAAAAACTCTTTCAAGACTCAACTCGTCTTAATCGAGCTGGCTCACGAACAAGCTTGTCAATTAAACGAGCCAAGCTCGAGCCATGCTATGTTCAGCTCGAAGGCTCGCGAACAAGCTTGTCTAATTTATATTTCATTGAAATGCATAATTATCAGTCGGGAGATAGAGTAGTAATTTCTTTCCCATTAATCTATACATCTGTTCTAACTCTAGCCACCTAAACTCTATCTCTCATTCTCGTTTTCTTTCCTCCGTCGCCCCACAAACACAGAAACACGAAAACCACCCTTCCCCCCTCTCATTCTTGTTGTCATAAATCAGTTAGTCTCAATAACTCGAGTTGTTGGGAGAATGTTATACTGGATCTTATACCACTGTCTAACACGCCCCCTCAAACGAAAGTCAACCCATAGGCTTGAAGTTTGCACAGGAGATCATCAAACCTTGTGCTTTAATCAACTGTTAATATTGGGGGTCGTGGAGAATCGAACACATGACCATCGTCGCCACACTGGATCCAAATCCATCGCTAGAATCAGGCAAAACCTCCTCGATTTCAAACAAATTGACTCGCCCGTCGTTCACGAGCCTTCTAAATCCAAATCCAAGCTCCATTTAGGGATTTAGAGATGTCCTCCATGGTAACAAGTGTTAGAGAGTGGTGTAAGATCCATAATAACCTTCTCCAGACAACTAGAATTATTAGGACCAACCAATGCAGTCAAAAGCGCGATTCTACCTAGAAGCGGAAAATGGTTAAAATCGTAAATCGTATAATCAAAGCGTAAAAGCGTATGTTTTTGACGCATACTGAAAATAACTAAAAATCTATTAAGTAGGACATATACTATGTAAAATATGAATGCACATAATTTAGATAAGTTAATAAATACATGCAATTCATGCCTAAAATAGAGTAACTTATAGCATCTTAATAATAAGTTCGAAAATTGCTCTTCTGGCCTGAACTATGTACCATACTTCCTTATTTTGCCCGAAGGCAGGTTTGACAGTTAAATTGGACAGTCAACAGAGTTGATCGTTACTCAATGGCCAGCTCACTTGGCCACGTCAGCTAGCAGATAATAAAAAAAATTATTTTTTGAATTTTTGTATTTTTTCCTTTCTTATAATAATAATAATAAACATAATTTTTTTATTTCCTTTCTTATAAAAATATAGAAATTCAAAAAAATTAATACTTTATTTCTTATTCGCTGATGTGGCCAAGTGAGCTGGCCATTGACTAACGGTCAACTCAGTTGACCGTTCAATTTAACGGTCAAACTCGCCTCCAGGCCAAATAAGGAAGTATGGTACATAGTTTATGCCAGAAAAACAATTTCCAAAACCACTGGCCAAAGTAGAAAGTTTGTGTATAGTTCGAGCCAAACTAAGGTATTAACCCTTAACAATAAGCCACATTTTCCTCTATGCTAATGAATTTGGGAAGAGCCTAGCTGGTGAATTATATTACTCTATTGTAGTTGAGAATGCATCCAAGTACCTAGTATGTATTTCTTTAATATCAAATGCATCATATTGTTGGTGATTTACTTTTAAATTATACTTTTTATAATTAATTTCATGAAAAGAATACTCATTTAGTGAACTAAAAGCGTAAAAATCTAAAGCGTTTTGGTGAACTAGAAGCGTAAAAGCATAAACTTTTAAGCTTTAAATCGCAATTTAGTCCGATTTTATACACTTCAGTTTTTATATGGAAACGAAAACGTTTTGGTTAATTAAAAGCGTTAAATCGTAAGTAATTGGAATTTTATGGCATGAGTTATTGGGATACTGGGAAGAGCTTCGAGCCACACGAATTCAGGAAGGCAGGGGAGCTGCTGGCACCTAAATCAACCCCTTTCGTTATTTCTTTCTGAAAGTAGGAGATTTTAATCATCTCAATTGGTGTCGCCTGGCCTCTGGGCTATACTGATCCACCCAAGACTCATTACTATGAGATTATCTCCACGATGCAGATGGTGGTACGTATCATTGTGAAGGTATCGAGACCCCTTGGGACGATACCTACGGCAATTATTTCTCGTATTTGATTTTACATCTTTAGTTATTTTTCGCTCGAGCACAAATATCAAAGTCACGGAGAAATATTATAATATGAGTTACTAGGTGACTTCTATTGTACACCAGGCAAAAAACTGAGGTATGTCGTACAACAATTTTCACCATCCACTTTCATCTCAACAGACAACATAAATGCGGTATTTATTTTATAATCTCGCAAAAAATAAAATCAGCATTTAAGCTGATCGTTGAGATGAAAATGGATGGTGGAGATTGATGGTGTACGACATACCTAAGTTTTTGCTTGCGTACAATAAAACTATCCTGAGTTACTATTCATTAAACGTATTATTTTGTTGTTGTGTTTATATCTACTTATCTATTCCTATTTGGTTCT